CTCTTCTTCCTTCTCCTTCTCCTCGTCCTTCTCTTCCTCCTCCCCCCTTCAAAGTCCTCACCCAACTCCTCATCCTCCTCCTCTTCGTCCTTCTCCTCCTCATCCTGTCCCTCCTCATCCTCCCTCCTCCTGCGGCGCAGGACGCGGCGGAGGACGCGCCGCCGCCTCCGCCAATGCCGCCCGACATAGAGGTCTTTGGGGAGGGCCGAATTGGAAACACCCGTTTGCCCGACTTCTCCCCGCCGGTGAGTACATTGAAACATTCCCCGGCCCAGCACTCTTTGTTCTTCCCAGAAACGAGCGATTGCTTTAGAAGCATGTCTTCGGCGCCCTCTGGGAGTGCCGTCGCCGCCCTCTCGAAGTGCCCCCGGCGCCCTCTGTAAGTGCCTTCGGCACTCGCTAGCGGGTTCCTCGAGGCGTCGACGAGGCTTTCGAGAAGTTTCTGAGAAGCATTTGCGAAATGTGATTTCGAAAAGTTTTCGAGAGGCTCTCGAGAAGAGGCGCTTGAAAGGTTTCCGAGCGGATCCCGACAGGCTTTCGAAAGGATCCCGCGAGGTCCGAAAGGCGATTGAGATGCCTCTTATAGGTTACGTTTCGAAGAAATTTCTGACAGGCGCATGCGCGTCTTACGAGAGGCTTCTGCGGAGATTATGATAGGTTTGCGCGGGCCTTCTGAAAGTCGTCTGCGGAGGTCCTGCGAAGCTCATGGGAGAATTCCGACAGTCTTTGGATGGTCTTTTGGAAAGCCCCCGAGAGGCTTCGGACACGCTTCTGAGAGTTAGACAGGCGTCTGCGTAGATTATGATAAGCTGATGGGCGATTCCCATTAGGATTCCGAGAGGCCTCTCGAAGTTGTTTGGCGGGGGTGCGAGGATTTTGAGAGGTTTCTGGGAGAGAGCAGTACTTCACGACAAATGTTGGACACATCACAAACACAACAGGATACGCTTGACACAACATTATTGCAGGAACAACACCAGGTCAATGCGCATGTGGCCCATGATTACGACAGAATTGCAAACATACCTCAAATATAACTCAGGCAGTGCATGAGCATGCCATACATGCTTGTTTCGGCACATCATGGGAAACTGGCAGGCCTGACTTTATAATGTTGCCTTACGCAAGTCACATGGAAGCGTTAGGCCTCGATTTCGATGTTGGCTCCTGCGCAGCACATGCGAACGGCCCCACGAGAGCCTAAGGCGTCCCGACATGGCTCCAACATGGCCGGAGGCCGCAAGGTGGGCCCAAGAGGACCCCAAGACGTCGAGTAGGGGATGGACTACAGAATTGATTTACCCTAGAAGTGATTTCCTCGTCGAATCGACCAAAAAGCGTAGCATTCCTCATACCCCAAAATCAACTCTGAAGTTGATCCCCTACTCGAATAGGGGCCTTCAGGGACCCAAGACGGCCTCGAGATGGCCCGCATGGACCCAGGACAGCCCCGACACAGCGCCGAGAGGGCCGCGCGCAGCCTCGAGCGCCTCCCGCCTTTCCTCGTCTTCACCATCCTCTTTCCTCGCCCTCCTCTTCCTCCTCTGTCCTTCCCTCTCTCCGTGGAAGGAAAAACCATCGAATATAGAAGATGACTTCAAAATTGTAAGACAAGCAAAAGGATTATTAGAAACGAGTGCTGATAATATCATGAATGTGAATGGAGCAGTTTCCTTCGTCCCTCTTCCCTCCTCCGTGATCCCTCCTTCTCCCTCCCCCGGGCCCCGCCTCTCCAGCCCCCGCATCCTCCCCCTCCCCTGCCTCACCCTGCGCTGGTGGAAAACGCAGGGCCAGAGGGGCAGCAGCGGCATCATACAGCATGTATGGTTGCACGTGCTCTATGTGTATCGGAGGCAAGGGGTGAGATTGCAGTGAAGCGGACAGCCCCCCACCTGGAAATCAGCTTCGGTTTCCTGTTCGTGTCGCGCGTGCGGGCGAGGCGAAGTTGCGTGGGCGGACGAGACGAATGAACCCTCCTCTGGCGAGGGCGCCGCCGGGCCAAAAGACCTCCCCCCCGATTGTCCGGCGGTGTCCCGCTGGCGTCTTGTCGGTGTCCCGTCGGTGTCTCGTCGGTGTCCCGTCGGTGACCAGTCGGTGTTTTGCCGGTATCCCGTAGGAAAATCGATAGTGAGATCGATGGTGAGAGGGATAGTGATATCGAGTGTGATATTGATAGTAAGATCGACTGTGAGATTCATAGCGAATTCGATCGAGCGAGATCGATAGTGATATCGATAGTCGTCAGGCAGATAGTGAGATCGATAGTAACATTGATAATGATATCGATAGTGAGATCGATAGTGGGATCGATCGTGAAATCGATAGTGAGATCGATGGCGAGATCGAAAGTGAGATCTATAGTACGATCGATAGTGAGATCGATAGCGAGATCGATTGAGTGAGACATCGGTTCCTCCCCCCCGAACCTCCTTATCCGAAGAGTGGTCTCATAAGTATATGCACGAGACTGCATTGCGTTTCGCGCCGAACACGTTGGTCCTTCAAGTTCCGCACACACGCGAGGAGAAAGAGGGAGAGAGAGAGAGAGAAAGAAAGAAAGAAAAAAAAAAAAAATGAAGAATCAGACGGAGAGTAGATATCTCTACCCCATTGTGGCTCTTGTGGCGCTTTTTTCACCAATATGGCTGTATATTGGAAAGAGCGCGTGCTGCGGTCGCTTGGAGGGGGGGGGGGGTTGGAACCTGACCCCCGCCCCCTGGATGGAAGGGGGGGAATTCAACCCCCCTCCCCGTCCTCCCCTACTTCTCCTATCTCCCTCTCCTCTGGCCGGCGCCTGCGGCGGCGGGCGGCGGCGGCGAGGAGCGTCGACGAGGACGACGGTGGTGGTGGTGGTGGTGGTGGGTTGAGGGGGCGGTGGGTTGAGGTGGTGGTGGCGGCGGTGGTGGTGACGGGGTGGTGGTGTGGTGGTTTGTTGTGGTGGTGGTGGTGGAGGTTATGGTGGTGGCTGGTGGTGGTGGTGGTGGTTTTGGTGGTGGTGATGGTGGTCCTGGTGGTGGTTTGATGGTCGTGTGGTGGTGGTTTGTGGTGGTGGTGGTGGTAGTGGGTGGTTGTGGTGATGGTGGTGGTGGTTTGGTGGTGGGGTGGTGGTGGTTGGTGGTGGTGGTGGTGGGTTGTGGTGGTGGCGGTGGTGTGTGGAGGTGGCGCTGGTGGTGGTGGTGGTGGCGGTGGTAGTGGTGTGGTGGTTTGTGGTGGTGGTGGTGGGCTGTGCTGCTGGTAGTGGTGGTGGTTGTGGCGGTGGTGTTGGTGGTGTGGTAGACTGCGGTGGTGGTGGTGATGGGTTTTTGTGGCGGTGGTGAGTTTTGGTGGTGGTGGTGGTAGTGGTGGCTGTGGTAGTAGTGGTGGTTGTGTGGTGGTTGGTGGTGGTGGTGGGTTGAGGTGGTGTTGTTGGTGGTAGTGGAGGTGGTGGTGGTGGTGGTGGTGGTGGTGGTGGTGGTGGTGGTGGTGGTGGTGGTGGTGGTGGTGGTGGTGGTTGGTGGTGGTGGTGGTGGTGGTGGTGGTGGTGGTGGTGGTGGTGGTGGTGGTGGTGGTGGTGGTGGTGGTGTGGTGGTGGTGGTGGTGGTGGTGGTGGTGGTGGTGGTGGTGGTGTGGTGGTGGTTGGTGGTGGTGGTGGGTGGTGGTGGTGGTGTGGTGGTCGTGGTGTGGTCGTGGTCGTGGTGTGGTCGTGTGGTGGTGGTGTGGTGGTGGTGGTGGTGTGGTGGTGGTGGTGGTGGTGGGTGGTGGTAATAATCGTCGCTGCGTCCCCGCCGTCGCCGGCGCCGGCGCTGCTTGCCGCCGCCAGCGCCGGCGCCGGCGCAGGAGGGGGGTTAGACCCCCCCCCCCCTTGGGCTGCCTCTGGTCATCGTCGCTGCGTCCCCGCCGTCGGCGTTGCTGGCCGCCGCCAGTGCTGGCGCCGGCGCCGGCGCCGGCGGGGGGGGGGGGGAAATCCCCCCCCCTTGGAGGGGGGTGGTTCGGGGTGGGGGGGTTTGGAGGAGAGGGGATCTACCTTGGTTCTGATCGACGGCGCCGAGTGTTGGGGAGGGGCCACTCCCCGGTTCGAAACGCGCCGCCGAATGTTCCCAAGGCAAGCGCCCGTGAAACGCGCTCTCTCGTATATTTGCGTGCCCATGGCGGGCGAGAAGGAGGATAGGGGACTCGATAGGGGAGGAGAGGAGGAGGAGGAGGAGGAGGAGGAGGAGGAGGACGAGGACGAGGAGGAGGAGGAGGAGGAGAGGAGGAGAGACGCTGCTCGGAGCGGAAATGCCAGAAATGCCCGGAGAGGAGGAGGAGGAGGAGGAAGAGGAGAAGGAGGAGGAGGAGGAGGAGGAGACCTTTCGGCTTCTTGGAAAACTGTGGGAACCAAACTGGGTCGCCGACAAGACGCTTCTTTGGAAGGCTCCTTGGGGCCTCTTGGGAGGCCTCTCGGGGGCCTCTTGACGGCATTTGTGGAACCTCCTGGGGCCTCTTGGAGGCCCTGTGGTTCTGGGCTTCTGGGGGCATGCTGGCGGTCTCGGGGGCCGACTTTCGGGAAAGGCTCGATGTGACTGTTCGGGTTCCCCCTCCTGGGGGGGCCCTCATCGGAGCCTCTTGAGCCCTCTGGAGAAGCCTCTTGGGCCGTCTTGGGGCCCTGTTGGGCTGACTTGCGGCGATCTTGGATGCCTCTTGGGCTGTCCTGGGCGGTCGGAAGCTCGAAAAGGCAGCAACGCCCCCAAATTCTGTCAAAAAACCAAGCAAGATCAATGATTTGTGCCTCTTCGCTTCGGGCCCTCCTGGGGTCCTCTTGGAGCCCTCCTGGGGCGTCTTGGACCATCTTGAGAATAACTTGGGCCATCCTGGAGCGCTCTTGGCATGAGGCCGTGGGGCCTGCCATCTATCTGGCGCCTCCTTGAAGCGCTCCTGGGGCGCTCGGGGGGTCCTCGGCACCGCGCCCAGGAGTTCTGGTATGCGTGGCCCGACCCTGCCGGGACCTTGCGGGGACCTCGCCAGGATTTGTTTCGCCCAGGGAGCCCCCAGGGGCCGCCACGCGAGCGCGAACTAGAAACATTCCGAAGTTCTTACTGGAGATTTCAGTACGCCTCGTTGGGCCAGCGAATTGTCCTTATTCGTTGTTGGAGTCGTTGTTGGCCCGTCTCGGGGCGATCTGAGGGGGCTTCCCCGAGAGTGCAAAGCCGTCAGGGAGGATCTATACCTATAGCGTTTGGGGAACGTCTTGGGGATCTTCGTTCGGTCGTCTTGGGGCGCCTTGGGGAAGACTGAGACCACTCGGGGCCCCAGGTAGGTCGCTCGGTCTCCCGAACGTTCTGGGCCTGTCTTCGAGGCGCCAGGGACGTGCAAGCGGCCCAGAAACCCGAGTTGGCGCTCTACAGGGGCGACCAGGAGGTCTGGAATTCGCTTGGAGATGACATCTGCGTGGGGGGCCCAGCCTTGCAACAAATGTGTATACACCTATATATATATAGAGAGAGAGAGAGCGACAAGAAAGGTACATCCATATACATATACATATCCATATACGTGCATGTGTGTACACGCACGTAGATGCGTTTACGCGCACGTATATGTATGATTGCATGTAGTTGTTCATCGTTGACCCAACCCTAGCACTACTCCGATGTCCGTCCTGAGCAATGAACGAGTTAGATTGAAAACCCGCGGCTCCCGCTTATCTGGGCTAGGTACCTCTCTCTCTCTCTCTGTGTCTCCGTCTCTCTCTCTCTCTCTCTCTCTCTTCTGTGCTATACTCTGTGATCCTAGACAGGTACAACCTGAGCACGTGCGAAGCGCATGAGATGGCTCTACCTGACGGCTTTACGCAGCACGTGGAACTGTCAGGCTCGACTGTACCAATGCTGTGTGGAACACACCACAAATCACATAGCAGACAGCACTAGTCACGCAGATGCATCAAGAAACGTTGCGGCACTCGCTGTGCAGAACCAGTTGCTGCAGACGCGTTATTCCCTGAATGTGTGTTGTCGAAAATGTGCTAATCTGAATGGCAGATTACGTGCATGTCATATTCCTACGGTTCGCTGACAACCAAACATGATATTGAAGGGTCGCTCGGTGTTGATACTCCGCTGCTGCTTTCACAAGTCAGCCGGTGAACGGCGCATTTTCCCAGGGAGTTACGCATCGAACCGGGAAGTAGATGGCTGCAACCCCACCCCAGGAGGGGGGAGGTGTCTGAGAAGAAGGTTCCCGACGCGGACCATGGGGGTCCACCTGCGGCTCGTCCTCCCTTTCCTGCCGCCGACCCCCCTGCCGCCGCGACGGTGGAGGGAAACAAGTAGTCGACACCTCCCCTTCTCCCCCAAACCCGAAGCTGGCACGCGCGGGGAAGCCTGCGGTCGAAGCGCAACTCATCCCAACCACCACCAACTTTAATCCTAGGAGGGGGGGGCATTAGCACGAGCCTGCGGCACAAGTGCTCGCCGATCTCCTCCAAGGCCTGGACGTTCATCGTCGCTGTCGTCGACCGCCCCAGACCCCCGACGCCGCGATGATGTTCACGCCGTCGACCCCCAGAGGTCTGGACCCCTTCCCCGGGATTGGCGTTTCACCCTGAGCCGTGTTTCGGGGGCGGCCAAGAGGGGGGTGATGATTAGGAGGGGGATCTCATGGCGTGGGCCATGATGTTTCTTCTGATTTCATGGCGCCTCTTTTCATTTCGTTGCGTCCCTGCCTCCCCCCCTGGGCCGCGCACGTGCCGCCGGCCATGATGTGCGCCCCCCCTCTTGGCCGCTCCCGAGTTTTTAACGGCCCCGAGGCCCAGCAATGGCCCCTGGGAGAGCCAAAAACACACAAAAAAAAAGCCCCGCGTCGCGACATCCTATCACCGCGCGAGGGGGGTCCTGGGAATCGCTCTCGCCGATTCTTTCCGAGGCCCGGACGCCGTCGTCGACCGCCGTCGCCGCCCCCGAGGACGCGGCGGAGGACGCGCCGCCGCCGCCGCCCCTGCCGCCCGACGGGGCGGCCGCCGACGGTCCGCCGCCCCCGCCCCCGCGGGAGGCGCCCCCCGCCGCCAGGGCGCCTCCGGCGACCCCCGCGGCCGGCGCGCCCGAGGCCCCGCCGGGCCCGCGGAGCCTCGGCCCGGCGGAGCTGGCCGGCAGGAGTTGGCGGGCGAAGGGCCCGCAGAGCCAACGCATGGACAAAGTCAAGAGGACAAGGAGAAGAAGATGGAGGAGGAGGAGGAGGAGGAGGAGGAGGAGAAGGAGGAGGAGGCGGAGGAGGAGGAGGAGGAGTTCGCAGCAGATCCAGCGCATTGGCAGAATCGAGGCGGAGGCTGTTCGCAGTTTGCGGCCTCCAGGGGCCCCCGCCGGGCCCCAGAACCGTCAAGGAAGGACTCGGGAGAAAAAGCCGGTCCTCGGGAATGGGTCGAGACTTCCAGGGACCCCGCATTGACAAAAACACGAAATCGGATCTCTGGGAACGGCATAAAAAAATCTCTTCAGCCGCCAGGGGGTGCATAGAAACATAAAAACATCACACGTTATGATGGCTACCGGTGGACGTTCTTATGGCTACCGGTGGTCATAAGAGCGTGTGGTGTTTTATGTTTTTCATGGCCACCCGTAGCCATAAGAACGTGTGATGTTTTTATGACCGCCGGTTGCCATAGGAACGTGAGGCGTCCCCGACGGCTGGAACAAATATGTTATACCGTTTTTCGCCCCCTAGAGGAAATGTTCGTACTGCTCCGCGCCGGCGCTTGCACGGGAGGTGCTCCTCGGGAGCCTTGAGACGGGGCTCAGTGCTCAGGGGCGGCCTAACCGACCCCTAGCAAACCATCCCCTTCCGTAACGTCCCCCTCGCCTCGCCCCAAGACGTATGTAGAAGTTCGGAAGACGAGGGTGACGTCACGGTTGTTAGGGGTCGATTGGGCCGCGCCCGAAATGCAAACGGGGGTCAGCCAGGGCGCCAGGTCTTGCAGGATCTTGCAGAGCCAGGGTGCATTGACCTGGGCTTGCGCGCAGGATCTTGCAGGAACCTGCAGGATCCTGCACGATCCTGCAAAACCCGATTGACCCAGGTTTGATTTGACCCAGGTCAGCGGAAGCCAGAGCTCAGAGGAGGAAATGGTACCGATATTGCTACCCTTGCCTCGTTTTCGCCCTTCTGGGCCTCCTGGGGGGCCCTCGTCGCCACCGTTCGATTCGCTTAGAGACTCTGGTCGGAACGCACCCCAGGAGTGCTTCGGGAAGCAGCGATATCGGTTCTGTTTTGGGGTTTGCCAAGGTGCCGGGGATGAAGGTGAAGTACTGCGGGGACCTCGGGGTGGGGTCCAAAGTGTGCTCCGTCCGCGCTCGCGTCCGTCGCGGCCAGGGTCCGCCGCGTTCGGGCGGCGGGGGGGCCCTGGGCAGGGGGGGAGGGAAGGGATGGGGCGGAGTGAGAGGAGGCGGAGGCGGAGGGGGAGAGGAGGTGGGGAAGAGGGGAGGGGGGGAGGGCGGAGGGGGAGGAGGGAGCGGGAGAAAGAGGAGGACCAAAGCCAACCCATGATGCATCAACGATGCTGCAATACACCTTTCCGTCCCACGCCCCCTCCTCACGAGTCCTTGCAGTCATCGTTCATTCTCGCTACGAGGAGTGCCCCCTGAAAGACGAGAGACGGCCCACGCTCGGCTTGCCAGTCAGGCGGGAGAACCACGTTTTGAAAAGAAGCTGCCCTGCATCCTGCAAGGGTTGCGAAGGGGCAGGATCAGAAGCTCCAGGAAGTATCCAGCGAGAGCCCGAGTCCCTAAGCAGCTTGTCTGTAAGGGTTCTACACTCGGCTCGTCAGAAGGGCACAGGGGGGCCGCTGCTGGCCCCGAACTTGGTGACCGATGGTCTCCGGCATGGTATCCCGGGAGGCTTTGGCGGGGCGTCGCCGCCACAGGACTCTCACGGAGCGCGTTCCACTACTCGCAGAGTGCCTACTCGCAAACGTCCGAAAACACACGCACGTTCGCCTCGATGTAATTAATCGTAAATCCTCCGCGGCTGATCCAGGCCATTTGCGAGTAGTAACTCTACACATAATAAGACACGCTTGCCTAGACTCGGTAACGTGATGGTCTCCGTGGTGGTCTCCCGCCCTGTATCCAGTACTGTTGAAATACCCTCTCTGCATCTGTGCAAACTTGATTATGATTGCTTTGTTGCACTGTGTATGATCGTAACAGGCCCTTTCGGCACAAAACACTTCTTCATGGTAGCGTAGGGTGCTGCTGCCCTCGCATGCCGCCGAAGAAGCGCTCGAGAGGTGAACGTCGATCTGAACATCGACGTATCGAACGAATCCTACGAGGTCAACTCCGCCGCGGGGCTGGAGAGCGGACAGCCCCGCCCCAGCCTGCGGCTTCTGCTGGAGGGCAGCACCGCCGGCAGCACACCAGGGAGCGGGCAGCCCCGCCCCTGCCAGAGGCCCCGCCTCGAGCGGGGAGTAGGTCACGGGACCACCCGCGATCGGCGTGCGAGGAGCGGCCCAGGCGCCAGCGCGGGAGGCGCGAGCGCTTGGATCCACGGGGAGAAGGAGGGGCTGACGCAGAGAGGCGTAGCCCGGGCCCATTGGGCGGCTGGACGTCGCTCTGCGCGAGGCCGAAGCGCTGCGGGCAGCCCCGCAGGCGCGAGCAGGAGCAGCCTTCGGACGAGCACAGCGTCCGGAAGGTCAAGAGAGAGGGCTTGAGCCAGGAACGAGAGCAGGATGGCCGAGGCAGCGCTGCAGGCAGTGCAGGCGCAGCTTCAGGAGGTCACAGAGCAACTCCGGTTGCTCCGGACAGAGAACCAGCAGCTTCAGACCACCGTGGCCCAACAACAGAACCATATTGGAGCCCTTCAGCAGAGCCACGCCGCGGCGGGCGCGGCAGCAGCTGCAGCAGCAGCTCCAGGCACCACTGAGGTGCTGCAACAACTTGTGTCTGTGCTCACAGAGCAGACGAAGGCCCTCGCACGGCGCGAGAGGCCGCAGCTGGTGGACCAGAAGGCCATCGGGAAGCCATGGACATTCACAGGGGATGAATCCAGGCTCCCGGAGTGGACCCGCAAGATGGAGGACTATCTGTGCGGCGTGGAGCCTCTGCTGGGCCGTGCGCTGGAGTGGGCCCTGGACCAGGACGACGCTATCAGTTCCGACGACGTAGACCTCCAGTTCGGAGGCGCGGACGACAATTTCATCGAGGGCATGGAAGGTCTCAATCAACAGTTCAAGTCCGTCCTTGCCAGCACCACAGAAGGTGAGGCATGGACGATCGTGCAGAGCTGCCCCGGGAACGGCTTGGAAGCTTGGCGGCTGCTGCACCGCCGCTTCGACTCGCTCAGCGGCGAGGGGGGCCGGACACTGTTGAGGGCGATCATGTCACCCAGCAAGGTGAAGATCGAAGAGTTGGGGACAGCACTCCAGACGTGGGAAGCAATGGTGACCAGCTACAACAAGAAGGCGCAGAAGCTCGGAGAGGCACAGATTGTTGACGACTTTCTTGCCTGGGCCTTGGAGGCCATGGTGCCCGAAGAGCTGGAAAATAACACTTACAGCTCAACGCGTCCAGGCTGAAGAGGTACGCCGACGTGCGTGCTGAGGTGGTGCAGTACTACGAGACCAGGACGGGGAAACAGGTCAAGATCAGCGTGCGGGACTGCATGCCGATTGCCAGCGCGGATACCGGGATCAAGCCCATGGATGTTGACTCTCTTGCTTGGAAGGGCAAGGGCGGCTCCAAGGGAAGCAGAGGCAAGGGCAAAGGCAAAGGCATAGACGGCATGGGCAAGGCCCAAAGGGGCAAAGGAGACAACCCCAGACCTGCCCCGTTCGAAGGGTACTGCAACAACTGGTGCTGTCGCAAGTGGGGCCACAAGGCACAGGACTGCCGGGCGAAAAAGCCAGCCGGCCCGAAGGCGGAGGCGAAGCCCCCGGCCAAGGGTAAGGCGAAGGGCAAGGGCAAGCACGCCGGCTCCTTGGACGCAGAGCAGGAGGACAACGGCGAGCCAGAAGGCGAACAAGGTGCGCTGGACATGGGGGCTTTGGACGCCAGGTTCCCAGCCAGCCACTGCACCGACGGCTACCTCAAGTTCAACCTTGACACCGGCGCCGCCGCGACGGCGTACCCGCATAAGTGGTTCGAGGGCCACGAGGCGAAGCGCGACGACGGCAGTCACAAGGGCTACGTAACAGCGAGCGGGGAGAGGATCCCCGACTACGGCGGCGTCAAGCTGCAGTGCACTGATGAGAACTCGATGGTGCGGAACATCACGGGTCGGCTCACGGACGCGCACAAGGTTCTGGTCTCCGCCTCCCAGGTGGCTCGGGCAGGACAGCTGCTAGTGCTGGAGAAAGGCGGGGGGCGCGTCTTCCCTCGCGACGGCATCATCGGCAAGAAGCTCAAGCAGGAGCTGGACAGGTTGGTACAGAAGTACGGCCACGAGACCCTCCTGCCAGTGTACGAGGAGAGAGGCGTGTACAACTTCTACATGCGTATAGATGTCCAGACAGACGTCGCCGGGCTCGAGGACCCAGGCACGCGGGCTGCCCCGCAGCCGGGTTTTGGGCGGCCGGACCTTCGTCTGTAAGTCCGCTGGAAGGAGCGCTGGCAGGAGCGGGCAGCCCCGCGCCTGCCGAGGTGCCGGCCGCAGAGGCGGTCGGGGCCCCGGGCGTGCCGGACGACGAGGTGACGGACGAGCGGCAGGAGGTCGAGAACCAGTGCGCAATGGGGCACGCGCAGTTTCGATCGCGGTGTCGGCATTGCCAGGCAGGAAGAGGCATTGGAGAGCAGCACCGGGGCCGGGAGGAGCCCGAGGGCGCAGATCCCATCATTTCTTCAGACTACGGGTACATGAATGATGACGGGGACGATGGCGCCACAATGCCCATGCTTGTCATGAAAGACAGATCGACGAAAGGTTACATGGCGACTGCAATCCCGTGCAAGGGAGTCGAGCCCTACGCGGTCAGATTATTTGCCGGGTGTGTCAAAGAGCTTGGATGGAAACGGTACGTGTCCAAGTCAGACGGCGAGGCAAGCTTGGTGGCGCTGAAGGCCGCCGCCGGCGATGCATTGCCTCGAGTGAAGATGGTGCCGCAGGAGAGCAATGTGGGCGACCACCAGGCCAATGGAGAGGCCGAAGCAGCTGTGCGGGAGGTGAAGCGGACGATAAGGTCCTTGAGGGAGGCGCTGGAGGAGAGGATCCAGAAACGCCTGCCTCGAACACATGACGTCTGGACTTGGTTTCCTAGGCACGCTGCTGCCTGCCTGTCGCGGCACAGGGAAGGCGACGACGGCCGGACGGCCGAGCAGAGGAGAACCGGGAGGCGCTGGAACAAGGCCCTGATCGAGTTCGGGGAGCGTATCCACGCCCGGTTGGCGCAGGAAGAGCCGAGGTCCGGCTTTGCGCCCAAGATGGTCGAGGGCATCTACGCGGGGCATCACGCGCGCACCGGCAGCCTGATGGTGATGACGGCAGCCGGGGTGGTACGAGCCGAGACCTTCAACAAGATGACGGCCGAGGAGCGCTGGAAGGCAGACTTCTTCGACAATCTCAAAGGCAAGCCTTGGGACATGGCACCGGGTGCGGGGGGCTCCGCACCGGTCAGGCCTGCCGCAGCGGGTAGCCCCGCAGGGGCGGCGGCGCCGCCGCCGCCGCAGCAGCCGGTGGCACAGCGCGCCGGAGGCGCAGGAGGCTCTGGAGGAGGTGTTCCTGGGCCCAGGAAGTTGTACATCCTGAAGAGGGACGTGCAGACGTATGGCTCCACGCCGGAGTGCGTGGCGCGTGGGCGCGTCGCTATAGACTTGCCGGCCGGCGGGGCGCACACGAGGCAGTGCACCGAGCGGATGACCGAGGAAACCCGCGCGGACCCAGTGCAGAGGCACCGCGTGGGGGCGCAGGCAGCTCGGCAGGCGCCGGAGCCAGACGAGGGAGCCGCAGCAGAAAATCCTCATCGTCATCATCCCTCCCCTCTCTCCCCTCCTAACCATCCTCTTCAGCCTCATCGTCGCGAAGGACAGCGTGGGGGAGAAGAAGCAGGAGGAGCAGCAGGAAGAGGAGGAGGAGGAGGAGGAGGAGGAGGAGGAGGAGGAGGAGGAGGGGCAGCAGGAGGACAGCCTGGAGGAGGAGACGGACCGCAGGGAGCAGCAGGAGAGCCCGGGTCAGCGGCGCACGGCAGCGGCAGTTCGGCGGGTAGTCCCGCAGCTGTCGATTCGAGGCCGGGTCACGCCGAAGCGTCTCGACAGCCTCCGGCGGGCTCAGAAGAACGTTCTTCGGCGAAGAGACGCGTCGAGAGGAGCTCAGGGTCCCAATCAGTGCTCAAGCGGAAGCCGGTGGAAGCACCGGGACAGACAGTGGATGACGATGTAAAGCTGCCGCCATCAATCCAGCTCAGGATCCAGGCCGGGACGTGCGCCAGTTCGGGCGCCCCCGTGCCACCGCCTGCGGGTAGCCCCGCGGGAGCCGGCGGAGAGGGCAGAGCGCTGGCGGGAGGCTCCGTTGGCGGCGCCGCTGGATCGGGCATGGAAGTCGGGTGCCTGGATATTGGAGGGCTTTCGTGCGACAAGGAGGCGCTTCGCGTAGTGTACCGCGACATCGTTGCATCAGCGCTCGCGCGTGAGAGCGTCGAGCTGTCATTCGTTGAGTTGAAAGAGAACACACATCTTTCATTGGAGCTGGGAGCCGTGGATGTGCGTGAACTTCAGGCGCAGTTTCGTCCGTTATGCTCGTTAGGAGGCGCATTAGGCATGAAGCCAGGAATCTGTGTAGACATGAAAGCACCGAAGCCCGACGGAAAGCATTGGGACTTCAGTGACGATTCAGACGTGGCTGACTGGTTCAGGGCACTTGAACTTAAAGACCCATATCTTCTTATAGGGTCACCTCCGCGTGTTGCATTCCATCTTCTTCTTCAGGGTGGTACTTGCAAGAGGGATCCCAGTGCACTGGCCAGGGCCATGGATCGTGCTCGGAAGCACTTGTGGATAGCTAGCGAAAGCTATCGTCGACAGATGGTTCGTGGTAAATATTTCCTTCACGCACATCCGCATGATGCCAGGAGCTGGCACGATGAACAAATCAAGGCATTGGTTGCTCAAGAGAAGGTATCACGAGTGAAGGGTCCAGTGTGTAAGTGGAGATTGGATGTTCAAGCCCACGAAAGGGCGCGAGATGGTGGTGCACGCTATCAAAGAGAGCCCACCGGTTTCATGACGAATCTCCCAGACTTGGCCAGAGAAGTGGCTGAACAACGCCAGACCGGTTCGGAGAGCGGGCAGCCCCGCCCCGAACACCTCTATCACGTGAAGATTGTGGGTGGTTTGGTGAGGCGTGCGCTGGACCTCCCCCTTAGGGTGGTCAAGCGCGCGTAGTGAAGGACATCTTTGTGAGTTGGCTGAGGCCACGGCCGGGCCACTCCCGCTAGGCCCAGATCCGTTCGAAGACAGCCGAGAGCTTCTGAACGACGGCGAGCGGTACTGGGATGATGTGAACGGTGGATGGCTCGATCCTGTTATGGTTCGAGAGGCACGCAAGTGCGAGGTCGATTGGTTGCACCGGCAGGAGGTGTACGAGAACGCGGCCACTGCAGGAGTGCAGGGAGGTCACTGGGGCCAATCCAATCAAGTTGCTTTGGATAGATACGAACAAAGGCGACAACGAGCGACCCAACTACAGGTCGAGGATTGTTGTCCGCGAGAAGCGGGGCAAAGGCGAGGAAGGCCGGGCGCTGCCGGCAGCCTTACTTTTCTCCGCGATGCCGCCCCTGGAGGCTGTGAAGATCCTTAGCGCCAGGATGGTCCAGGAGAGGGTCAGTTCCAGAGGGCAGCCCCTCGGAATGCGATTCTTCGACATCTCCCGCGCTCACTTCTATGGCAAGGCAGAGAGACCTGTCTACACAGAGCTCCCAGAACAAGAGCAAGACGGAATCCATTGTGGGTTATTGAAGAAGTCCATGTACCGGACTCAGGACGCGTCAGCAATTTGGCAGCGCGACTACACAGGAGTGTTAGAAAGTGATGGTCACGTGGCGGGCAGAGCCAACCCAGCGCTGTTCTACAACAGTCGGGATGACTGCCGCTCGTTGGTACACGGAGATGACTTGTTGCGCACTCGGTGACGGCGCGGCGCTAGATCAGATCGAGGAGACGCTCAGATCCAAGTATGATCTGAAGGTGACAGGAAACCTGAGGCTGGGCACCGGAGAGGAGCAGGAAGTGATCTTCTTGAACAGGGTGCTCAGGGTCGCGGGTAGCCCCGGCGACGAGAGGTTCGAGATCGAAGCGGACCCGCGACACGCAGAGATGATCGCGAAGGAGCTTGGTCTCGGAGGGAGTTCTGCGAAGTCCCTGGACACGCCAGGACTCAAGAAGGAGGAAGCAGACGAGCAGGAGCGAGAGTCTTCTCCTCTTCTCGTAGGTGAGGAGGTGACATGCGAGCTGCATATCTCTCGCCTGACAGAGCTGATCTCGGTGATGCCGTCAAGAATCTGGCGAAATACATGCAGTCTCCACGGCAGGTGGACATGATTCGGCTGAAGAGACTCGGAAGGTATCTGAAAGGTCGCCCGCGGGTTGTTCAGACGCACAGGCGGGATCTAAGAATCACGGCTGGCGAACCTGTCAAGATCCTCGTAATGGTGGATTCAGACAACGCTGGGGACAAGATATCGCGGAGGTCCACTGTCGGACAAGTGGCGTTCATAGGAAGGCATTTCGTGAAGCACGGGTGCAATTTGCTGCAATTCATCGGTCTTTCTTCAGGAGAGAACGAATACTACGCCATCAGTGTGGGTGCTTGCACCGGGCTCGGGATCAAAGGTATTCTCGACGATTGGAATGTTGCGTCCACTGTGAGGGTGGTCTCTGGCTCCTCAGCCGCGCGGGGTTTCTCTTCCCGGCGGGGTGTGGGCAAGCTAAAGCACATCCAAACTCGGTACCTGTGGGTCCAGGAGCGCATTGCCATGCGGCATTTGACATCTGGTAAAATCGGAACCAAGGAGAATTGCTCTGACCTTCTGACGAAGCCGCTGACGCGAAGAGAGATCGACGGCCACATGAAAAGCATAGGCCACGACTTCCGCGACGGACAGGCCGCAGCAGGGAAGCACCTTGTATGCTGACGTGCTGCGACGTGGGCGCGGGTAGCCCCGCTTGCCCGGCAAGGCAGGGTGGTGGACACGGAGACGCCCAACCGGCCTGAACTGATCAGCGGACAGTCCCGCGGCAGCTCGAAACCACAACCTTTCTAGCCCCGCACAGCACTGAGCTTCGCTACTGCGCGCTTCGCTACACTAAGCTTGGGCGGATCGCCACGCTCCACTACCTCGAGACGGCTACGGAGTCGTGCCGGACGCTGCAATCTGGAGTACAGTCCAGCTTGTAGCGAGGAGGGGTGTTGAAATACCCTCTCTGCATCTGTGCATACTTGATTATGATTGCTTTGTTGCACTGCGTATGATCGTAACAAGCCCTTTCGGCACAAAACACTTCTTCAAGTACGGCCTCTCGCGTGGTCTCCCGTGAGGTCTTCCATGTGGCTTCCCGCGTGGTCTTCCGAATGTGGTCTCCCGTGTGTTCTCCCGCACGGTCTCCTGCATGGTCTCCCGTGCGTTCTCCCGAGTGCTTTGCCGCATGCTCTCCCCTAGGATGCTCCGCACGTCCGCCCAGGTGGTCTCCCGTGATAGCCTGGTCTTCTGTGCATGGTTTCCCACATATGTTCTTGAATGTCTGTTTGCTTGTAGGTCCTCCCGTACGAGTGGTGCGCCGAATCGTGGAGTGTGCGATCGCGCCCACTGTCGCCGCGGGCGGAGCTCCCTGAGGGGCATCCGCAGTGTGAGGCCGCTGCGGAGGGCAGTAACGCCCGTGGTCGCGCTTGCTGGGTCCGCAGCTCGAGTTCCCCAAGGGACACGAAACGCGTGAGAGGTGTGCCGATTTGGTCGGGTGATAACGCATGCGGTTGCGCCTCTTTGAGGCCGTGGGGCACGAATCGTGCGAGAGGTGCGCCGAACTATGAGGTGGTAGTGCCTGCGGTCGGGACCGCTGAAGCCGTGGGTGGAGCTCTTCGGGGGGGACGAAACGCGTGGGGTGTGCCGAATTGCGAGGTGGTGCCGCATGCCGTCGCGCCTCTTTGAGGCCGCGGGGGGGAGTTCCCTGAGGGGCGCGAAGCGTGTGAGGGCCGTGCCGAATTCGGGAAGATGGTAGCGCAGTCGGTCGCGCCTCCTTGAGGCCGTAGGTGGAGCTCCCTGAGGGCCACGAATCGTGCGAGGGGTGCGCCGAACTGTGAGGTGGTAGCGCCGGCGGTCGGGACCGCTGAAGCCGTGGGCAGAGCTCTTTTGGGGCACGAAACGTGTGGGGTGTGCCGAACTGTGGGGTGATAGCGCGTGCGGTCGCCCCCACATGAGGCCGTAAGTCTGCATTGCTGGGGTGCGCGAAACTTGCGAAGGATGTGCCGACTTGGCGGGTGATAACGCATGCGGATCTCGCCCCGTTGATGCCATAGGTGGAGCTTCTTGGAGATCGCGACAGTTGTGAGGAGTGCGCCGAATTGAGGGTTGGTAGCGCATGCGGTCGTCCCCATTGACGCCGTATGTGGAGCTCCCTGCGGCGGGGCGCGACATTAGTCAGGGGTGCGCCGAGTTGGGGTGTGGTAGCATATGTGGTCGCGCCCGTTGGAGCCTTGGGTGGAGCTCCCTGCAAGGCACGAAGCTAGTTGGCGGTGCGCCAAGTTGGCCTCCCTGAGTGGCACGAAACGTGTGAGGAGCATGCCGAACGGAGGGTGAAAACGAATGCGGCGGACGTGCCCACTGACGCCACAGGTGGAGCTCACAAAGGGGCACGATTCGTGCGAGGGGCGTGCCAGATTCGGCGGTGGTCACGCAAGTGTTCGCGCCCCTTGATACCGTAGTTCGAGTTCCGCAAATTTCACGGAATTGGTGAGGTGCGTCGAAATGGGCGGGGTCATACGAGGAGGAAGAAAAGCGGGAGAAGGAGAAGGAGATTCGCGTCGTTACAGGAGGGTGGGAATGATCGCAATGTATAGACGACATTTCTGGCGAAACGCCCAGACCTCCCTACCGACAAGACGGGTGGTGCGACGAGGAGGTGGTGGTGGCGCAACGTGGGGCATTGGTAATGAAATTAGTGTGGGTAGAAGGAAAGATGAGGCTAAAGAGGAGGAGGAGGAGAAACGCGAGGGGATTAGGAGGAGGAAGAGGAGGAGAAACACGGACTGGAGTGAACCTAAGACACATCAACGATGCTGCAACACACCCTCCCGTCCCAAGTTCCTTCTTCCTAAGCCCCTACAAGCCATCGTTTTTTCATTACACAAAGCACCCTCTTGAAAAGCCAGTACCCCATCGGCCCGCCACTTAGGCGGGAGCCCCGCATTGAAAAGGAATTGTCTTGCATCCTTCAGGGGATGATAAGGAATGCGGGACGGCATGATCATACAGTTCGACGAAGTGTCCAAAGAGATCCCCGCTTTGAAGACGAACCGCCCCCAGCAGTATGATTGTCGCACGATTTTGCGATTCTGGCCATGACTCTCGATAAATTCTCAAGCGAGAGCTCCACTCTGCAAAGAAACCGCCCTCCACCTGTGCAGCCGTTACACATGTTCAAGCCTCCGAAGCTTCAACAGGTCACATGCGAAAGCCCCGCTTTCCTCAAACAGTGCTTGCAGTTCGAAATTCGTACTTGTGGAATAAGGAACTGGAACTGGGCCTGGGCCTCGGTCTGGCGGCTAAGTTGTCGCCGTCACCGCTTCGTCGCCGCCCGCCGTCTGGGCCTGCACTTCGCATTAACGTGCATTGTGATGACGTGCTTTGCATTGCGTTGCACTGGTCGGCATTGGTTCGCTTGGCGCTTCACGTTGCATCGCGACGCATTGCGTTGGATTGCTTCGCGTTGTTGTCCAATGCTTCGCATTGCGTTACATTGCTCTGCATTGGTGTGCTTTGGTTTGCATTGCCTTGTCGTGAGTTTCAATGAGTTGCGCCACATTGCGCTGCTTCGGGTGCCTTGCATTGCTTTACATTGATGTGTGTTGCAGTCTTAGCGTTTCTTTGCACTGGCTCAAATATCGAAGACGCCTACGGCGAGTCACCGCCGCCCCCTGCCCTTTCGGAAGCGCTTATGTGGCCGAACGTTGAGGCCAGAGCTCCGCCAAGCTATCGGACCATGTGTTCCCCGAATCGGTTTGGAAAGCCTTCCGGGAACACGTGGGGGAGGACGGGGAAGAGGAGGAGAGTGAGGAATGGGCGTGTTCGGGGCCCCTTGGGGGCTCTTGTGAGCTTTTGGAGGCGCCTTGGGGCCTGCTGGCCGAACGTTGGTTCAGATCCTTGCCAATCTTTCGGAACGAGTGCTCCCCG